GAGGAACTAGAGGACAGAGGCTGAAGAAACCTATTTATAAATCGTATCAGTGGCTTTAGATAGTAGACTTGAAAGGTGCACATAGTATTTGCCTGCTTCCATAGAGAAATGTGAAGAATTTAGAATCCTGATGTTTTGATGACAAAGATATAAAATACAACCAAAACAGGAGCCTTCACTCCTGCCCTTGGCATGTCCTTTGTCAGACTAGCACTTTCTCAGTCTTTAAGGAGGGCATTCAGGCTGTGAAGTTGGATGGATGTCATCCTCCAGAAGTTTTTTCGTCCTAGTTTGAGACCAGGTTGAAAAACATCACTTTGCTAGTTAGTACTCTTAATAGATAACTGGAATGAGAAGAAGGGCTAAATATTTTATAGAACATATTATTCTGCCTTTATTCACGTTTATGGTCTGTTCTGTGTAAAATTGTCATGTTTAAAGCCTATTTAGGGAAATTGGAAATAGAATTTAACTTTTAAGAACCATCATTTATTCGCCTACTGCAGCAAGTTCACACCCTTCTGAACTGTGAGGTAAGCTTTCCTAGCTTTGAACCTGTTTGCGAGGTCTAGTAAAATAGGTTGCAAAGTCAGTTTGTGTTATGTGTCCAATTTTAGCCACTTGGGAGCAATATGACTTTGTCAGAGCATTCAGAAAAACTAAATTTCTCAGGTTAGGTTTCTGAAGGAAAGGGTTGATTTTATAAGAAATTGATCTCATTTAGTTCAAGAATAGTGATTATCAAGAAGAAATTATCCTCCCAAACATAATAGCACTGAAATATGTATACTAAAAATAGAAGGAATTTTATAAATAGTCACCAGTCACACACAGTTCTCAGCCTGGAACAGAATTTTTGGGGCATTAGTAACATTTAACACTCTCCCCTTCCCTTTTCTCTGCAGACAGTGTGTGAACTCCTGAGACCTTCTTCACTTAGTCACTTGATGTGCATGAGCTGATACGTGTCGCACAGGCCCTGTTTTGACTTTCTCACTGCAGTGTTAACAAAAACTGCTTAGAGTAATCAAGCCTCTTTCTGGTTCCAAGAGTCTAGTTAAAAATGGCTTGCTCTCTAAGGGTAGGAATGGTTGCACAATTTTAAGAAGATAATCATTGTCCTTGAATTGTACCTGGAGAAGTTGTTGACTTGGTATATTATATCCGCCCCCCCCCAAAAAAAAATAATGCCTCTGCTGTACCAGAACTTTTTAACTTAATTTATTCTGGGCATTGTGTATGTTGATGTGTTATTTTCAGAAAATGTAGTGTATTTTTTAAAATCATGCTGAAAATGGAATCTTTAAGAACTACCTCTTCCTTTTCCTCCTACTTTAGTCTCTCTCTTCCTCAATCGCCTCTCTTAAATTTTCCAGTTAGCTTGCTGTCAGGAAGACTATTACAGTTAACACAAAACTCTGGTCTGGGATCTGGGAGACTGAACTCCTCTACTCTTTGGACAAGTTCTCAGCTGTGTTTGCTCAGCTGTAGGAGGAACAGGTTTATTTATTTATATATCAACTACTTTTTCTTCCAGCTCTAAAATTCTCTGTTGGCCATTCTCCTTTTGATTATGTTTGTACTTCTTACATGCTTCTTACTTTGGCTAGTTGGTACACCTAAGCCATTGGTTTTGATTCTTCATGATCCTGGAGGACAGAGTAAAACTGCCCTGTAGGGTTTCCAAAGTGGTTGTCTTCATTGATTCAGTGACTGGGGTAAGGGGGGTAAGTATGTTGGAGACAATAAGATTGGCACAGGATAGAGCAAGATAGAGGGCGTCACAAGTGACTTGATGGCATATAACAACAACAGTCTTCACGGAATCATTGATTATGCAGAATTCTGTCATTGTATTCCCAGCCTCATTTCTGTCACCAAGTCTGTGTTTTCCAACCACTGATCATTCATTCTTCCTTGTTCCCAACATTTGCATTCCAGTCATTCATTATTATTAATACATCTTGGTTACATGTTTGATCAATTTCTGGCTGTAAAAGTTGGTAGAAATCATCTGTTTCCTTCTCTTTGGCTCTGGTTGTGGGTGCATAAATTTGAATGATAGTGTTATTAACAGTTGATCTTAGCAGTTACCTGCTATGCATCAGAGAGCTGGGCAGTGAATAAGAATGACAGAAGAATTGATACCTTTTAGCTGTGCTGCTGGAGAAGAGTTGAACATGGACCGCCAAGAAATCAAATAGGTTTGTCTTGGAGAAGATGAAACCTTGTTTCTCCTTGGAGGCTAGGATTTTGAAGCTCCATCTCACATATTTTGAGCACATGACCAGGAGGGACCAATCTTTGGAGAAGGACATCCTGCTTTTAAGAGTGGAGCGAGACGGATTGATAGAGTAACTAGGGCAGTGAGGGTAGGTGTATCAGAGTCAGTGAGACCCATTCAGGAAAGGGCAGGCTTCAGAGCTGTTGTACATAGGGTTGCTGTGAGTTGCAGGTGACTCGACAGCACATAACAGCAATATCAACAACAACAACAGCCTTTTTTGAAGTAGCCAGCCAGATCTTTCTCCAGCTGACTGTTTGGTTAGCACTTGAGTGCTTTAATCACAGCCAACAAGGCTCCTGTTAAGTAGAGGCTATTTTTTAAAACTACAATGAAACCCTTAAAAAGGAAACTTAATGAAAATCCCTTGTTATTCCTCGTCTAGAAGGTTTTCCACCTTTGTGGTCTTACCACTTTTGAATTGTTTTTTATTACTAATTGAGATTACTTTTTTGACAGGCTTTTGCCTTACCCAGATCCCAGCTTTCTCAGGTTTTACTGTATGTTTACAGTATGTAGTTATACATTTACAATGGTCTCTGGTAAAAAACCCAAACTTAAATTACAAACCAATCTGAGTGCACTTGTTGCTGCTACATACTGGCGATTCAAAACCTATTCACACCTTAACCCTCTGAATTTTCAGAGGCAGTAAATTGCACAGGAGGTTTCCCAGCTCTCCCCTGAGGAACAGCTGGTGGATTCAAACCATGTACCTTTGAGTTGGTAGCACAACTCTTTAATAGTATCTAGATGTAATCTCACACTATTTTGCTCTGTCTGGTTTCCTTTTGTGCTGGATGTGAGCCTGGGAAACACAGTCGAGTGAGGGCACGTCCCACACACTGCTGGCACTCAGCAGACAGATCTGCCCACTTGGGACTCCTTGATTGCCGACTGTATTTGTATCTAGGAGGAAAAGCATAGTATGTAGAGGGTTAATACTTTGGTTTTAGGTACCCCTACTGGTCGTCTTGGGACAAAGCTCACAAAGAGGATGGGAATGATACACAGCTGAACTCATAAAATGTTGCTGTGAAAAACACTAATAAAGTGAAGTTGCTAACAAGATTTGGAGTTTGCAAGTTCTCAGTTGGGAAGTTTCTCATGTCATTTGTCTTATGCACTAGCCAAGTCCTTCTGTATTTGGTCCACACAGTTGCCGGGATTGCTACATAGTAATCAGTTATAAGTCAATTGGAGAAAGAGACACAATGCAATCAATTGTGTGAAACTATAAAGTGCATAGGCCAGTGTCAATGATAAGCTTTAATTTGATGGTAATAAGTTTTCAATTTATTAGTTGCCAAAATGCCACAGTCAGGAGATTTCATATGAAAGTTTTTTTCCTCTTTTTTTTTTTTTTGTCTTTTTGACAAATCAGAGAGATATTCATTATTCATTAATGATCTGAATTTTTACATAGCATCCACTTGCTGGAACTGAGCACCCTTGGCTTTACCATTGTCTCCACTGGCTTGTTTTACTTCAGCAGGTACATGAACAGGTGAAGACCCTGGTGGTATTGTCCATTGGGGCCTGTGAACCGCATCCACACTGGCCTATGCATGTACTAGTCCACCTTGATTGACTGTATTGTCTCTTTTTCCTCGAATTATATGTGGTTTTGGTTGTACTCTTGATCTGGAACCAACTTACAGCTGACCCTTCAGAAGGTTTTCAGAGACTGAATCTCATAGAAGGAGATTACTTCTCTTTCTCCTGAGGAACAGCTAGTGAATTTGAACTGTGTGCCTTTGAGTTGGCAGTGCAACTCCTTACCACTAAGTCTCCACAGCACCGTGTAATGGATTACTATGTAGCGATCTTGGCAATAACAAGAACATTAGTGATAACAGACTTCAATGATGACTGTACCCTCACAGAAGCCATAGTGGTTTAGTGGTGGAATTCTCACCTTCTGTGTAGGAGACCTGACCATTACATCTCCTATGCAGCCATCTGTCTTTGGGGACTTGCATGTTATGATACTGAACCAATTCCAGACTAAGATGGACAAAGAAGAAAGGTTCATTGATCTTCTGAAAATTGTCTAGTGATGAATATGGACCACGATAATCTGATCTCATTTTACAGGCAGTCACCATAAATAAGGGGACCAGCTTAAAAATCCGACTAACAGGCAGCCTGATACTAAGCTGAGAGTTTACTTTTAAGAGAATGCACAACAATATGAGTTCTTACAATGCTGTTATTTTTGTTGGCTGTATTTTTTTTAAAATTGATATGTCTTTGATCTTCATTCCATGAGTATTACCATCTTTTATCCACTCAAATATAGCTTTGATGAAAGGCCTGGAGATAAACTTTAAAAAAAAAATCAGCCTTAGGAAATCCTGAGGGACATAGTTCTGCTTTTATACATACAGGGTTAATATGTTGGAATTGATTTTACAGCAACTGGTTACTGTATACTAGTACTTTTTAAAATAGTAATTTTGCATTATTCATATAGAATTACTGAAAGCAAAAAGGAAGGACAAGGAATTACTTTTAGAAAAATGAAAAAGGCAAAAAGATTAGCATGAAAAATTCAAGAATGCTCTGAAGGGAGCATTGTTTAGAAGATACTTCAAGATTGGATAAGAGCCCGGTTTTTATTTTGCCCCAAACTGCATTACCCTTACAGCAGTAGCTGTGCACTTAGTATTCTTCATGTTTTAACTTGCTCTTCTCGCTTATCTATGTTCTATAGGTAACTCGGGACCAGATGAAGATGTTCATCCAGCAGGAATTTAAGAAAGTTCAGAAAGTGATTGCTGATGAGGAGCAGAAGGCCCTTCATCTAGTGGACATCCAGGAAGCAATGGCCACAGCTCATGTGACCGAGATTTTGGCAGACATCCAATCCCACATGGATAGGCTGATGACTCAGATGGCCCAAGCCAAGGAGCAACTTGATACCTCTAATGAATCAGCTGAGCCAAAGGCAGAGGTAAAGGAACATGCTCACAATTACTAGTGGCAGGAGAAATGGGAAGAAATTGACCAACTGCTGTATTTGTTGGCTTTAGAAATGCTTTCCCATGGTCAGTATAAACAAATTGAGGCTTATAATAGTATGTAGTTGTTGACACTGATGTGTAAACCAGTACAGAAGTGTTGGCCACTATGGTCTGCATCTAGTGACTGGGCCTGGCAAAGCCAAATAATTCATTATTTAAGGAGTATGGTTGACACGGTGACTGCTGCAATGGGCTCTTGTGTGTTAGGAAGTGTGAGGATGATGCAGGTTAGAACAGGGTTCAGATTTTTTGTTCATAGAGTCTCTGTGAGTCATACTTGACTCAACAGTACCTAACAACAAGGGTTGATGAGGCATATAGTAATGACACTGAAGGAGGGAGTCCAGAAATTAGAGCCAGAAAGAAGGCAGTTGACAGGTGCATGGAATAGATGAGCCTATGAAATAAGTCATTATTTTAATGAGAACAGGGCAGGAAGTAAACCATAAGACAGGGCACATTGGAAGGTTTGGGACTGATTCTATGAGTAGTGAAAAGATCCTTCAAGCTAGTTTTTATTTGGAACCAACTGTATAAAGTGAGGACATAACTGCTGGATTAACAGAGTTCTGTGGAATAGGGTGTTGTGAAGACTACAGAAAGTTAGTATGAATGAGGTACATAAGATAAATGTGGACTCACCATGATAATGTTAGTTAGGTCACTATTCTTGTAATTATTTTGTGACAGAAATAGAAGGGTCTCTGGCATTTTACCAAGCAAAATACTCAAGCATTTAGAATGTATTTCTTAAAAAAAATAAGGCAACCTTTTGAAAAAACTTATGTTTAGTCACTAAGGAAATGTCCATTAGTGTTCTGTTGAAAATTTAGGTTAAATTTATGCCAGCTAGATTAAAGCTAGATTTTTCTATAAGAAAATCTAAAAGTCCTGTGGAGTTCTAGGATTGGCCTTTTAAAAAAAAAATAGTGTAGTCTTTATTTTCACAATAGCAGTGGTGTCACTCTGGAGACTAAGATGCTCTGATACAGGCCACGGTCTTTGCAGTCACTTGTTATGCATCAGAGAGTTGGACAGTGACTAGGGAGGATAGAAAGAGAATTGATACCTTTGAGCTGTGGTGTTGGAGAAGAGTATTGAATGTACCAAGGACTGCTAAGAAAACGAACAGGTTCAACCTGGAGAGGGTTAAACCAGGCTGCCCCTTGGAGGCAAAGGTTCTGAAGCTTTTCTGGCATACTTTGGACATATTGCAAGGAGGGGCCAGTACTTGGAGAGGGATGTCATGCTTGGGAGAGTGGAGGGACAGTGCAGGAGAGGAAGACCCTCTATGAGGTGGATTGATTGAGTGACTGGGGTAAAGGGGGCAGGTGTGTCAGAGACAGTGAGATTGGCACAGGATAGAGCAGAGTTTAGGGCTGTTGTACATAGGATTGCACATAAAAACAACAACAACATATCAGATAAGTCTTTTGTGAATCTATCCCAACAGGAAGGAACACAAGACCTTTATTTCACACTTAAATAAAATGTAGATAAACATTTGGAAATTGACTTAAAAACTGGTAGATAAATTTTGTTCTTACTTTTTAGTACTTATCACGAGGGAAAAAAATTCCAAGTTACAGGACGATGAGAGAGACAATTTTAAATAAAATTTTTATTTTACATTGGTTTACTTACAAAGTTTGTATACATTGTTTTTCACACTGGATCATTCCCATTTCCATTACTTATCATACTGTGCGACCCAGTGATTACCCCTTGCCCATCCTCACCTCTCTGCTTCTACCTCCCCTACCCCTTGGATTTTCATACACGTTTTTGTAGTTGTCTATTTCCACAATTATGGCCTTATTCAGTATTTGTCTAGGACTGCTTTTGATTGAAGGAGCTCAGCCTTACCTAGCAATCTTGCCCTGGTCCAGGAATAAATGAGCTAAGAGTCCATGTGTAATCCAGAAGGAAGATATTGTCCAATTCATTCTGACAGGAAATGCATTGTATGATAGCATTGCATCCATCCAGGGTTCATGATTACATTTCATAAGTATATGTGGGGTAAGAAAAGCTCTTGGTGGTTTGTTTTTTTTAATTCATTCTCCCCAGAATTAAAAATGTATGCTCTAAAGTAAGCTTTTAAATAGGGGACAAAGAAAGTACTTACTATTTATCATTTCATAAAATTCCTATGTTAGCCATCAGTATCTCTACTTTTACTCCATCGATACAATGTTGAGATGAACAGCAATGTAGAGATGCTGATAAGCTTCCCACTTTGTATCTTTGGAGAGAATTCAGAGAATTGATGTCTTAGATGACTTTACGTTCTTAAGAGCATTTACAATGTTGATGTTAGATAGAAAAGAGTTGAGAGCAGTAGAGAGAGAGAAAGAAAGCAAAGCTGGTCCCAAGAAGTGAACAGGCCTTTATTGCAAGGTCTGAAAGGGACACCAAGTCATTGAGCCAAGAGACTACTTGGAGAGGTAAGGGCAGTCAAGGACAGTTCATTTTTATAAGGGTTTTAGGGAGGACTAGAGAAGATGGTCCTGGAAGCAGGAGCAGCATCCACTTCCGAAATGGCTTGCCTCCAGAAACTCTGTGTACGAACAGTGCTCAGGCCGTTCGTTCATAGAGTTGCTATGAGTCGTCTACGGCATCAAACAACAACAACAACAACAACAGGGAAGATGGTATTTTGCTGGGAATTTGGATAGATGTCCTGCTAATTACCTTGGTTGTGGGCTTTTGTGATCAGGTCCAGAGTCTTCTATGCTGTCGTCACCTTAGATATATTCAGGTTTCTTCAAGGAGTGATCAGGGCTGGGAGCAAGTGTAACATTCTTCCTCCAGTAATTTTATGTCTTTAAAAACAAACAAACAAACAGACAAAAAAAAAACCACCAAAAAACTAAATAATAACCCAAAAACAAAACCCACAAACAACTTTGGGATTTTTATCTATCTATCTATCTATCTATCTATTTAATTTTATTTTATTTTTTTATTATTTGTGTGTGTGTGTGTGTACCGTCAAATCAGATTTGACTGGTAGAGGAGGAGATGGTTTCTCCTTCTTCAGCAAAGCATCTGGTGGATTTGAACAGCACACCTCTGGGATTGCAGTGCAGCTTCTTGCCACTAGGCCACCAGAGCTCGCCCCACAAACAACTTTGTATTTTAATAAATACAAAGTTCTGAGCCATCTCAAGTGATCATTGGCATAACATTAAGCCCAGCTCTCTTCAAATAGAACCTTCAATTATTTTGTGTGTTAACCTTTTCTTTCAAAAATAAAGATTTAATTGAAGATATATCTCCTCTTTCCTTTATTTTAATTTAAAATAATGTATTTTGTCTCTCCCTAGTACTCTCTATCCTCAAAGCACCTGACCTGTACTATGCCCGAGTTACTCTTGTGGATGCAAGAACTGACAAACCTAAAGACTAAACTGTGAATAAAATAACTATTTAAAAAAAGAAGTAGCTTTCAGCACGTTTGAGCTATTACAAAGAGCTGTTGTCATCGAATAGTCTCTTGTTCCAGCTAATCTGGTAATTTATTGGTTAGAGCAAATTCTAGTGCATCTTTTATACTCAACAGAGAAATTCAGAAAATATGGGAAATTTTATGGTTCTTCATTCCTTTCTATTTAGTCTTTTCCATTTATGTACTATGGAGTTGTTTTGGGTTTTTTTAATTGCATTTTAGAGTTTGTCATGATAAAAATTTTCAAATATATGGCAAAGTAGAAAGTGTTTTGTAGATTTTACCTATATACCCTCCAGCTAGACTGTCCCATAAACCTTTTGCTGCCCTTTCTTCATTACATATCTTGTTTCTTTGCAGCCTTCCATTCATTAGTCTATTATTTTTTTCCAATTAATTTAAAACCAATATTGTGTCCTGTGGTTCTGAATAAGGTAGACCAAATAAATACATTTCATTTTACTTCTCTTCTAATCCTAATTAAAAAAAATCTGTGGACAAAATACAGTGATCCTTTCATCAGAAGATTCTGAAAGGTATAGGGGAAAAGGCAGACGGGTGCAGGATTTTGAGAGTTTAAGAACTCCAGGGCAGTGAGGTCACTGGTATTTTTTTTCTTTTCTTCCTGTGTGTCCTAATCTGGGTGCTAAAGAAGCCTGTAAACCAGAAGCACCAAAGAAGCAGCTATAAAAAACCCAACAAAAACTACCAAGGAAAGCCTGCTCTCTCTAGACAAAGGCCTGAGAAAAGGGCAGCACAGCAGGAGAGAAGCCTTTTGTGCATACCTGCCATTTTGGGGGAAAGGAGAAGGAAAAAAATCAAACTACAGAAAACTACTCCCTCTCATTCACTCCACTGAGCATTTCAGTAAGAGCCAGAGGTTGAAAACCTGTTTTGCACACTTTCTTACAGTAAACAATATCAAAAGATATCCACTGCCCTCAAGTCAATTCTATCAGCTTCCAAGGTTGTAAAATGCTTATAAGTGTGGACTGTTCCAACCTATGTTATATATAATGTGCTGTGTCACGAGGGCTCTTTTTCAATAAGAAGGTGTCTCTTTTCTCACAGAATCTGTATGTGAAATTTTCTCTCTCTCCCATCCCTCTTTTCAAGAAACCTGTTGGTGGAAATATAACTTCTGACCCTGCCCTATCCTCCAATTAGTAAAGAGCAACAGTGTTAATTTGAAGATTAAATCGTGCCTGATTCAGACCATAGTCTTTTCAATCACTCGCATATGAGAGCTGGACAGAAGAAGAATTGATGCCTTTGAGTTGTGGTGTTCAAGAAGAATTCTGAACATCCCATGGACTTCCAAAAGAACACACAGATATGTCTTGGAGAAGGTGCAGGCAGAGTGTCCATTGGAGGGAAAAATGGCACATACTTTGAGCATGTTGTTAGGAGAGGTTGTTATTTGGAGAGGGACATCATGCTTGGAAAGGTCAAAGGTTGGCAAGAGGGAGACGCTGAACT